AAATATATTTAATATACATATTTTATCTAAAATCCTTGGCAATGTTATTTTGTATGAGGAATCCAAGGAAGTGCCCCCTTAACTGACAAGGAAGGTATTTCGATAATTGTTCGTGCAAAATAAAAACTCTGATATTTTTCTAAAAAATGATCATAATTTAAATGTATATTCAAATTTTCCAATTTTAGTATTTAGATGATATATAATCGTTTAGGTACCGATATCAGGCGTTGTGGGGGTGCTAATCCTTCCCCACACGTAATTGACTCCCAAACCTTTTTTTTAAAATGAATTTCTGGATATATGCATATTAATTTTAATCTTTTAAAATTATTTTTCTTAAAATTATTTTAAAAGGTATTCTTAGGTATTCGACCTATCTAACTCAAATGTTGATTGAGACTCTGAAATTATTTATTTGTCCTATTTTAAAACCCAACTCTTTTTCCTAGATTAAGTTGGATCGATCCCCGCCATAGCCCTTAAAAGCTTAAGGACCATTCCGACACTCCCCACAGTCCGTGCAACATAACAAAGTTGTCATTGTCGCATCTGTACGGTATGTCTTCCTTGGGCAACCAATACGCTCTCCATACTATCTCGGTGTCTTTCATATTTCATATGGCCTCAACCCAGTCTTTTCTTTTACGAGGCTCTGAAATTTGGCACTTGTCAAGGAAATCCACCAGATGATAGAATTTCGATTGATGATTTCTAGCAACCCTTTTCAACTATCCAAGAATGACTCCACCATCATACCAGCAATAGTGATGCATAACTGGTAAACTATCATCCTCTTGATCGCCTACACTGGTTTAAGGACATGAATGTTTCTACTAGGATGGCCGATGCGTGATTTGTTTTCCTAAAAATGACTTTGACAAAATCAATTATGGGAACGTCGAAGTGATCTTCCTTTCTCGGGAAAACCACCAAGCTATACAATAAAAGTGAAAAATGATCTCTACTCTTCTTGGATTGTGCTTGCTCGTAAATCAAAATTTTTAGTTGAGCCCGTGAGATCCCATCATTCTGAATATATTCTTCGACTCATACTTTAGTCTTTCCTGTCAAAATAACCATCTTGGTTGTGATTCCTTTGGGTCGGATCGCCTTAGTGTAAAGTAAGTGCCTTTTGACATTTGGTATGTTCAATAAAGCATTATATTCTTCAAGGGTAGGGTTCATGTGTACTTTGACAAAGGTGAAGCAACGGTAAGTAGGATTCCAGTATTCAGCTAAAGCTCAAACCATAACTATATCGATCGGTACACTTAGTAACTCTACTACGTCCACATAGGCTTCTCTGAATAACATATTCTCAATCTCATCTCAACTAGCCCATATTCTTGATAAATCGGACCAATGTGCTTACTTGACACTGATAATAACCTTTTGTGGCAACACATATTCTTCACTATCTGCATTATTATCCCCAAATCGTGCTTGCCTATACTCTGACCATGTCTGAACATTTATCACATTCTTGGTCCTATCGGAAGACATTGCATTTTATTAATTCAAAGAATTCAAAGAATAATTAATGCAGACTAGCAAAATTTAAAGAATTCAGGCATAAAACACACCAAAAAAAATTAAAATCCTAACCGCATGCACTCTAGTTCTCCTAGGTTATCCACATGGCTCTAGCGGGGTAGGTTTGCTAAATTCTCTATATGTGGTTGGGTTTTAGCAAAGGTTATCAAGCCATCTATACAACTTGCTAAGGTTGACTCCGATTATGGCCCATCACAGACTTACGAATTGGATTCGGCTTAGGGGATCACACCACTAAAAGCGTATCTCGTATCTGATATCCGAATAGGCAACTTAGGATATTTTCCATAGATACTTTATCAGACCCACAAAAGGAACCCCAATGCTCCTCATGAGGTGTGATGTTGCTCCCTACTTAGGTAAACCAGTATTGAGCTCGGGTTTTGATCTACAATATGCAACAATCCTAAATAAATTCACAGAAGTGTAAGCATAAACCAGAGAGAGAATCATTTTTGATTTGAAATAACATAACGAAATGTAAATTAAATAAGAATGAACTCATAATTTCCAAAATTCTAAATATATGGTAACCAACCCGTGGCTCGACTATTAAATTGTTTAAAAAATAAAATATCCCCAACGAATTCGCCAAGCTGTCGACACCATTTTTCGCCTGGGTAGGGAAAGATCAGTACTGACTTAGGGGTTTTTATTTAAAATGTGGGGAGTTGCCACTAACATTTAAGGTGTGATAGGGACACCATAAAAATTGAGTGATTTTAATAAAACATTTAATTTTTATCAAAATACAAAGTTTTAGGGTCTACAAAAATAAAAAATTCAGGTTCGAGATTATGTTACCCGTGGGAAGGATTGCACCCCACAAGTGCCCAAAAATTGGTACCTAGTTGATTACCCTATATTTAGAATAAAAAATTTTGAGTTTGAACTTTATTTAATTTAAAAATCATTACGGATGCAAAGTTAAAAAGGACATTCATTTATTAAGGTCGATAGCATTCACCCCTAGTATAAATGCGGGATATCAGCTATTGTGCCCATTAACTGAATATTGCCTCGATATTTTAGAAATCATTATGCGGTTTTGAAAAGGTTGTCGACCTATTTCGAGAATCACCATTAGTCACCCCTCAACATACTTGCGGGATATATACTATTAACTCCCTAATAAGTGAACATTGCCATAGATTTTAAAAATTAAAATGCAATCAAAATTGTTTTATTCATCCTAATAAAGCCAAGTGTAAATTAAGGCTCTCTCTATCCTAAAGTGTCAAATTATGAGAATTAAAGAACCTAAAGGCACAAACCTAAAATGTAGATTCTAATATTAACCCAATTTGATTTTTAATCAATTATTAAATAGAATAATCGAGATGGTCCCTTGAGAATTTTGGCGAAGGCCAACTCGAATTATTTCCTAAATTAAGAGGACTATATTGAAATCTAGCTAAAAGTGGAGGCTCTATTTAACCTATTTGATTATGTTACTTTAAAAGTCTAATCGAAATTTTAAGGACTAAAGGGTCAAGATCTAAAATACATAGTTCTAAACATCTAGAAGTTCGAGTGCCTAAATCAATAACTCCTAAAATTTAAGGACTAATCAACAAATCAAGGTTCTAAATAATATCTAAATTAAACTATTAAAACTTATGGGATTTAATTAAAAGAGTTTTAGAAAATTAGTCGATGGTTAACAAATTAAAAGTTCGAACAATCGACTTGAGTAATCTGGTGTCTTATGCGAAAACTCGACTCAAATTACTCCCTAATTAAAACTAAGATGCCATCCTAAATACTAGATCCTATCTGGTTTACTAACCTAATCTAAGGACAAAATATAAAACTAATTAACTAAAAATTATGAAATTTAAATATAATAAAAACCCCAATTAAAATAAAAAACAAACAAAAAACTTCAAAAAATAAAATGAAATAAAAATAAATACAAGGGTTGAATTGCAAGAATATTAAATTACAAGGATTTAAAAAATAAATTACACATGTAATAAGGGCTAAATTGGAATGAATTTAATTTAATGGCTAAACATAAATAAAATAAAAAATAGGTTAGTGAAAAAAACGCAAAAACACTCGGAAGCTGTATGGACTAAAAATAATTATCCGTTTTATTTAAGCCTAAAATACCCTATTAACAAAAATGGGAAAATTACAAAATTAATCCAACCAAATTAAAATAAAATTTAAACAGTCACTACATCTGACCAAAGTGTAAAAACAAGCTAAACTTATAGGGACTAAACAATAAATAATCCAATAAATACATAACATGCAAGTAAAAGGGAAAATAATGGTTTCAATCCTCACATATGACCAGAATGCAAAAACACGCTAAAGTTAGAGGGACTAAACAATAAATAGACCAAAAATTATATAAAATGCAAGGAAAAGGGAAAATAACATATTTGGTCTCTACAGGTGACCAAAATGTAAAAACGTGCTAAACCTAGGGGGACCTAAGTGTGATTTTATCATAAACTCTCTCTCTATTCCACTTTTCAATTTTCTTATTTCAATTTAACCAAGATCCCAAAAAAAAAACAAAAAAAGCTCTCATTGGCTGGCCCACTGCCGGCCACCTCGCGCCCCTTTGTCCAACCGTTGTTTCGTGAGCCACTCCCAGCGATTGAAACTCCTAAACTAGCCTAAAATATCCCAAATCCCTAGAACTACTAACCTAGCCCCTATTTAGGGCTAAAAATACCAAAAAAAGCTCCCTAAATACCCCAAAAAAACACCCTTTACCTTTTGGTTTCCCCAACTCTGACGATCTCCGACAAAGACCTCTATGACTCAGGTAACCTCATCTAACCCTCTTCCTTTTTTTCTTTTTTTATTGTGATAAAAGCTTGGTTGTTGTATTTTTCGAAACTAAAAATGTTTTCTTTTTTTCCTTTTCGGATGTGTTCCGAAACAAAGGCTTTTTTTATTGATTTTTTTTGAAAATAAAAAAGGTTTTTTTTCTTTTTGCTTACTATTATTCGAAACTTAAAAAAATCTTTTTTTATGTACTCGAACAGAGAGGAAAATACCTTCAAAATGTGCTTTTGACTTGTATTGCTTATAGAAAATCCGGGAACCAAAAAGATCATTGTACACTGTTTATGTTTGGGGTTTTATACCCATTACAGAAAAAGAAAAATGGTTACATTTTGCTTTCTTGTTTGTTGTTTTCTGCAGGTTGCATGGAGTGGTGGAGGTGGTGGCGGCGTGTTGAAGCAGCCATCTCCCTTGCCTGGTGCAGAGATCAACAGCAGCTAATGGGGTGATTGGGGCGGCTACAATAGGGCTAGGTTTGAGCTAGGCTCCTGTTTGGTTTTGGTTAAGCATGATTTTGAAAATAAAAGAAAAAGTCAGGTGACCTAATTTGTAGTTTACCCTAGAATAAAAGAGGAAGAAAGCCCATAGAAAAAGCCAAAAAGAGAAGCCAAGCATCTTTAATTTCAACGTGGTTATAGATTCCTGGGAGATAAACAGATTGAAAGACTGAAACTTGAAGTTTGAGTCAATGCTTTCCTTCATCCTCTTGGCTATTTTGGCTCAAGCCTCGCCCGTAAAATGTGGAAATCCTCTTCAACAAAAAATGAACATAATAATCTTGGCAGGACAAAGCAACATGGCCGGTCGTGGCGGAGTTCTTAACGACACTGCAACAGGGATCACAGCTTGGGACGGCGTAGTTCCTCCGGAGTGCCAGCCGAACCCTTCGATCTTCAGGCTGAGCGCGAACCTGACGTGGGTCGAAGCCCTTGAACCACTCCATGCTGACATTGATTACAACAAGACAAATGGGATTGGACCTGGAATGCCCTTTATCAATGCTGTGTTGGGTAAGAACCCTAAGTTTGGGGTGGTTGGATTGGTCCCTCGTGCTCAGGATTTTAAATCGCGGTCGCGGTCGTGTTTCGGTTATTTCGGATTTACCGTGATTGCTGCCGTTGCGGGCGTTATTACGGCCGTCGCGAGTAATTCGGACAGCGACGAAACCGCTATATCGTGGACGAAATCACGGTCGCGGACCCTTTTTTAAAACCCTGCTCGTGCCATTGGAGGGACTATATAAGCCAATGTCAGAAAGGGGAGCTCTTGTACAAGCAGTTGGTGAAAAGAGCTCAAGCGGCGGTGAAGAGTGGGGGAGTGTATAGGGCAATGCTTTGGTATCAAGGGGAGAGTGATACAGAAAATAAACAAGATGCTGATTTTTATAAAGGTAGATTGGAGAGATTCTTCCATGATTTACGTTCCGATCTGCAAACACCTACGCTCCCCGTATTCCAGGTACCCTTTGTTCATTGTTTCATATCTTCCATTTCATTTTTCTGGTTCAATCACCACTGCCTTTTTGCACAAATTTTAGGGAATTGGTTATTTTCCATAGTTTTCTTTTATTAAATAAACCGTAAAGGTTAAGAGTTACGATTATGAGTTTATTTCGAAAGGTGACTTTTTTAGATATCAGTTTAACTTTACCAAGCTTAGCATATTAAACTCTTATAGTAGTTGGTAAAACCCATGTGCTGTATCCAATACTTTGTATAGTTTCGTATTAGTTTTCGATTGTAGTAAGAAGGTTTGATTGGCAATTTATCTCTTAAAAATATACGTTGTTTCCGGTTAACTCTTTCATTCTAAGTATTTTTTAAAATATTACACCGTTACTTAAATCACTACAACAGTCTAACTATATTAAAAACTGTGAATAAATAAAAAAGATAGAATATTATTTAGTAATATATAACTTATTTATTTTAAGGTAAAATACACAAATGATCCCCTAATTATAGATATTGTTTTCTTGATTCCCTCAAGTATTAAAAGTTACGAAATGGTTCCTTGAGCGTAGGACATTGCTTTGTTGAGTCTCTCGACTATTGAAAGTTACAAAATGGTCACCGGACTATTCGTATGTTCTAAATTCATAATTTTTTTTTATTAAAAATTGATGGCAATTTGAGCTAAATTTTAACATGCTAATTGTGATATGATAAAATTTGATCCCAAAATCTCAAACAACTATCATATCTCAGTTAACATGTCAACGTTCAACTCATATTGTTATCATGTTTTAGCGAGATAAGATGAGTTTGGAACATATGAACTGTCTAACGACCATTTTATAACTTTTAATAGTCAAGAGACTCCATAAAGCAACGTCCTATGGTCTCGAAACCATTTGTATACTTTACCCTTTATTTTAATCATAAATCTTAAAATTTAAAACTTTAAATTTTAAAATTGAAAATCTTAAATTTAAAACTTCAACCTTTAAATAGAAAATATATCATTAAAATAAACATATTTATATAAGCTAAATTTTACATAAATTATATATCAAATAATTTTTTATTATAAACAAGTTTATCCTTAACACCTCTCCTCCGTCTGTCTCTATTATTTTCCTATTCCATCAATTGAAGTCATTGAACCAAATCAAGAGATGAAACAAAGTGAGATGACAAAATCAAGACCCTAAATCCACCTCCACCCAATACTCCATTTCGGTTATCGATATCTATATGACATTGACAAATTAAAAGAGTTAAAATTTTAAAACCCATTGACAAATCAGAAAAAAAAAACAGTTAGTTAGTAACTCATTCGCACAATTAGACAAATCTAATTCCTTTCTTTTCATCACCTAAATCATGTTGAAATCATCTAGAAATTTTCACATTGCCATATGTATGTGGAGATTAATGTAATATAATACAAGTTGACAAAAAACTATGAACTTGTTCATTTTTACAGCATTCTCGGTCAGCGTCTTGTAGTTTGTCCTTTATTTTTTTTTTCCAGCTAGGGATAAGCGGCCAAATTGCCGAGATAATGTTGTGGGGAGGTGGGGCGAATTCCCAATATAGGCCACATCCGAAATTATTTTCTCATCTTGGGTAAAATCTACAGTAACAACATAAAGACTACATGACTGCCTGGCGTCTTCAGGCCAAACTTAAAGACTCCAAGAGTGTACAGCGTATTCAGGCCAATGGATAAGACTCCAGAGTGCACGGCGTCTTCAGGCCAATGTATAAGACTCCATGAGTGCACGGCGTCTTCAGGCTATGCAGAAACAGGTAGGTTGCCTAAGACTGGGAAACATATAAGTATTAATGGCAACATTAATTGTCTATTACTAACCTGGTAGGTTGGTGGTTAAACGGGAAACATATGAGCACCATTAATATCCCGAGATAGTATAAAATGAGGTGTTTTGGTTGAAAATTGGGGATCATAACAGATGGAGGGAAGGGGAGAACAAGTAAAATTTCGAGAACAATTGAAAGAGTGAGAATCCGGGAAGAATATTAGGGAAAATTTTGAACGAAATTTCTTTCAATATTTAATATGTAAGTATTATTCGAATAAGACTTTATTTAAAGTATTCTTCAAATAAAATTTTATTTGAAGTATTATTCGAATAAAATATATCTATTTTATCTCGTATTTCTTAATATTAAAATATTAATTTTAATATGTTGTTTCACGTAAAAAAGAAGTGAGTAAGAAATTCGAAAAGGTTTTTTTTATAAAATCAACTTGTTGCAAAAAACTCTAAAGTAAGTGTCAAATTTTTTTATTTAAAATATTTAACGATTTATTGTTAGTTACATATTGACTTAGTAAATATCAATTTACGATATATTGTTATGTAAATATCATTTTTATAATTTTAACATTATTGATTTAGTATTTGTAGTAGAAATGTTAAGATAATTAGATCAACATATTGATTTAGTATTTGCAATAAAAATGTTTAAGAAATATAATTATAATGACAAAAAATAATATTTATTATAACGATGAAAAATAATAGCTTCAATATTATTTAATATAATTAATAAATTTTAATTATATTTAATCATTATTATAATTTAATCATAAGTAGTTATAAAATATTCGAAATAAAGATATAACATTCTTATTTTAATTAATAAAAAATATTGTCAATATATTTACATTTTTTGCAAGGTTTAATAAATTTAATTTTTACCTTACGAATCATTAGTATAATTTGATCAACATTTGATTTAGTATTTCTAGTAAAAATGTTAAAATAATTAGATCAACATTTGATTTAGTATTTCTAGTAAAAATTTTAAAAATGTTAAAATAATATTGATTTAGTATTTCTACTAAAAATGTTAAAAACAATTATTTTAATTTTAATAATAATAATAATAGTAACTTTAATCTAATATAATTTTAATCTAATATGTCACAAATTGTTTTATTTATGTATTTTATTTTTTATTTATTCTGATATCTATATTTGTATATGTACAAAAAATAAGCAACAATTTTTTCATGATTTCCATTACAATGGACAAATTATGGAAAATGGGGACGGAGTTATTTTTTAGTCTGAATGACCTATATATATGATGTTTGAAAGAGACATACCATTTGTAGAAATGAATGAGAGGATAGAAAAGAAAATCTGAGTTATAGTTGATGGTTTGAGGTACATGTTTATGATATGTCCAAATCTAGTAAGGTATGTTGCAATACAACTTGAAGAAGATGATGATATTACAACTATGATTGAATTGCATGACTCAAAAAATATTCCAATTATTGAGTTATTTGTTATGGTGTGTAATATATCTGATGTTCCTGGGTTATCAAGAAATATGGTTGGAACTTCATCTTAAATAGCTTTCAAAAGTCAGATTGAGAACCCAACATATATGTCAATAAAAAGTTTCATGGTAATGTTCACAAGTGCAAACAAAGTCAGTGGAACATCTGCAGCCACATAGTATGGGGGCAAGAAGCATACATCATCCGTATTCGACTGTTGATGTTGACGCTGAAAACCGCTGGTGAGAAATACATGATGATTCTAGTGAAGATGAATAAACTAAGGAACTCATTTTGGCTGAGGATGACGATATTTTCGATACTTATGACCATTGATGAATATCTGACACCATATCAACATGCCCCTCACATGCACGAGATAGATTAAGATGTGATAAGGGCACCTAAATTCCCGAAGATGTCACATTTAACATCTGGCCACGTGACTGAATCATCTGAATACTATGGTGAATTATCAGTTGGGAAGTAATTTAGAGGAAAAAAAGAAGTTACATTGGCGATTAAAGAGTATTGCATAAAAGGCCATGTAGATTGCAATGTTGTAGAGTCCAACCAGAAAACTCTCTATGCGAAGTGTGTTAAATATGGATATGAGTGTAAGTGGCTGATTATAGTGTCCAAAATGCAGAGGCAAGATGCTTGGGTCATCACAAGGTACAATGGTCCACACACATGTTTGCAAAACTCTATCGAACAAGACCACCGACAATTGGACTATGTCAAAATGTAAAGGTGTTGGTTAAACAAAATCCAAAGATCCCTTGCTTGGTGTTAGCTACATCTATTCGAGACCAGTTCAGATACAATGTAAAATACAAACCGGTTTGGCTTGCGAAGGAGAAGGCAAGTAGGTGTTTATATGGTGATTGGGATACAGCATACAATGAGATACCTCATTTATTACAAGCTATGAAATGATTCATACCTAGAACCATCGTGAAGTCTCACACCATGCCTGCATACAACCTAGAAGGTCAACTTATTCAAGGGAATAGAATATTCCATAGACTCTTTTGTATATTCAAGTCATGTATAGAAGGTTTTCCATGTTGCAAATGTATGGTCCAAGTAGATGGTACGTGGTTATACGGTCAATGTAAACATGTATTATTGATAGCAATTGCACAGTATGGTCAACGAAATATCTTCCCGAATGCATGCACCATTGTTGAATGAGAGACGACAGAGGATTGGGATTTCTTTTTGAATAATCTATGTAAGTATGTCATCCGAAAAGATGGTATAACCCCCTAGACCCGACCTATGTGTTACGACCAGATCTAACGGATAACGATAAATTTTCTAAAAAAACATTATTTGATAACTTAAAATCTAAATTATAATTAAGCATCTTTAAAAATATAATTAATAGCATCAAAGTTTAAATTCAGTAAATCAAAGTCGTAAAAACTAAATAAAATAATTCAAAATCAGTATTAAAGAAAATCTAACATCAGTAACAAAATTAATATTTTCAAAATATAGGCACATGTCACCCAAAATAAATACAGCTCGGAAGATAAATAAATTACAACAAAAGGTATATTATGAACGGGTCGCCTATCAAAAAGTATCTAAAAGAGAGAAATTTGAGGGAATGAGCTAGGGATCTCAGTGTGTTCCAAAAGTGAAGAAATAAAACATACAATTAAGTTTTTAAAATCGGTTTAGAACACAATTATTAAAACCTCAGTAGAGTGTTTATTTTAAAACTTCAGTATCGCCTTCCGATAGAACACCATATAGCTCCCCAGAACTGTATCCATAAGGATTTACCCTAGGCTCGAAGGGCGTAGGTGTCAACCTACGGGAGCATATTGAGTCCATAAGGTCTTACCCTAGTCGAAGTGTAGGTGCCCACCTGAGGGGAGTTCCCTCAGGCCTATAAAGACTTACCCATTGCACACAACAGAGGAGCCACCCTAAGGGAGTACCTTAGGGTCATTAAGGTCTTACAACTAGGCCCATTAGGCCCATGAGCCCACCCAAGAGTCACCTTAGGTCTATAAGGAATTACCAGCTATATAGGTTTAAACCTATATAAGGAATTAACAATTTGACCGAGCTGAACCTGCAGAGACTTCATACCAGATCCTAGAGTACCCTGGAGAAAAATAGTTTTCAGACAGTAATAAGTGGTAACAGAAAATAAGAGTTCAGATATATTTATTTATCAATAAAAATAGTAACCAGAGAACATGAATCAGACAATCAGACTTAAGCTTTAGTAAATCAGAAATCATACTTTAAATCAGATAAATCATACAAAATCAAGTCAAGCAGATAGTTACATTGCAAAGAAGATAAAACAGTCATGTGAACATAATTTTTCAAACAGATATTTAAAATAGATATATGGCACACAAGGAACACACCTCGCAAAAAGAATCAGTCTGGGAAGATCTAACGAGCACTGACTTCACTACGCTCTTCTGTTGAACGAAAACCTAGGTTATATCAGAACATAATTATAATCAGAGTAAATATACTAAACTGAATATTTAATAGGGTTACAGAACTATATGAGTATTCACGGGCTCTCGCAGATGAGCGAATCAGGAGGAACCAGGTCGAGCAGACAATCAGTAAAGAGATCCTCGAGTACCTTAAATAACGATAACCTAAATTAATCATTGCCTTTAAATTAAATAAACTTACTTAAATAGCTTAAATTACAATGCACATTCGGGTTTAATGGTCAATTAGGAGGCTTTCGGGTTTGAATTTGGCAAAACAGACTTCGGAATCAAACTCAAGACGTCGAAAACATAAAATATGACTTTTCAGAAAATTTGACTTTTTTGGGTCAAAGTCAACGGTCAACTCTAGTCAAAGTCAACAGATCTTGTCAAAGTCAACGGGTTAGGTCAAGTCAATGGGTTGGGTAAAATTTATCGGGTCAGACCAGTTTAGGTTGACTCAGATTGGTTCAGGATGACTTGGTTCAGTTCGAGTTGACTCAGACCGATTCAAACCAGTTCATGCTGGTTTGGTTCATATGGAACGGTTCTATAAGAACCAAAGGTGGAGGGCAATCCTCACACATACCCAGCGGCGCGTGGCGGCACATGAACTGAAGAAAATGGGTTTGGTCGACAATCGATTACTCCCAAGCTCACCAAATAACTCCAAACAATCCAAATAATTCAAAAATCAACCAAAAATCGTAATAAATAATCAAAATTTATATCGTAGCTTACTCACACTGACGATCAATGAAAATGGCTACGACGAACAACAGATTTGATCAGGTTTTGAGCATATAACGATGAGGAAGCTAGAGTAGGCGGTCAGGCTAGCTGATGTTCGAGGTGGCCGAAATCAATGAAAATATACACGATGACGGGGGTTTTTAATGAGGCTTTCTTGGCTCTTTCACTACGAACGGAGGTTACTTTCGATGAATTAACCGAGGGTTTTTGGTCACGGGAGGTCACCGATCACGTTGGTGGTGACGGCTCACGCTGACGATGGTCTGATCGAGGAAGAAGGGCGGTGGGGACTAGGGAAAATTTTGGGTTTGATTCATGGGGGGAAATGGGATTATGGTTATGGGTATTAAAACTTTAAATAAAACAAATAAAATATATAAT